CTTTGTTTGAAACTGAAAGGGAAACTAACAGTATTATGTTTTCAACAATGAAGAAGTTATACACATGCTTCTTTAAATTTTATTTTTAAAAATAATATTTTTAAAAATAAAAGTTAGTTTTTTAAAAGAAATTTGATAGGAATTTCTTGTTTTTAAAAACATAAGTATTCTTATTGAAGGAATTTTTATATTTAATAGCATTATTTATATTTTTAAGGAAATTCTTATTTTCAAAAATCTAAATTGATTTTTTAAAAACCATTACTTATTTTCATTATTGGTTGAGGGGAATTATTATTATTATTATTATTTTTAAATATTGCTTTTTTTAAAAGAGGATCAAATTTTTAATATTTAAAAAAAAAATCTTATTTTGATGAATATTATTTATTTTTAAAAAACAGTCTTTGTTTTTAAAATATTTAATTGTTTTTTTAAAACGTTATTTCTTTTAAACATTATTTTCTATATTTAAATTTTTCTTAAAAGAAATTCTTTACTTTAAATTATAATTTATTTTTCAAAAATATTGCTTGTTTGGAGATTTAAACTACATGTTTACATTTATAAGTAAAAATTTTTATTTTTTAAATCTTATTTTACGCATCCTGCTAGCGATTTTTCTAGTAAATTTTATGCAAACATTTATTATAGATGATTACCTCTTCTAATACTTATTAATATTTTATATTAATCTTTTTAAAATATTAATATATATATCTTAATGCATATATCGTAATATTTTAAAAAAACTATTATCTTTATTTATATCAAAACATGGTTAAATTAAAGTAATAAGTTTTAAAAAAATTGTGGTTAAATATTTAAACTTTTAATCAAATTAAGCATTAAGTTTTCTACACATGGGATGTCAAAAACTGCGCAGTGAATACCTCTTGATCTAAGGGTTATAGAAACATGGTTGAAATTGAAAATATTTCTCAAATTAAGTTAGTATCGTATAATAGTTTTGATTGCGTGACTTGTTTCCTTAAGTTTTCAGAAAAGTTAACTTTTTAAACCTTGTTTTAATGCTTAAACCTCAAATTAGAAAAATGCTCATTAAGTACTCAACAATAATCTGTAAAAAAAGCTTTTAAAAAAAAAAAAAATTACTAAAATTTACCGAAAAAAAGAATTAAAAAATCATACTTTTACTACTTTCTCACAAAGAAATAGTAGAAAGAAGTCGTCTGCATAACATATTAAAAACCACAATAAAAACTTTCCTACTAACGTAACGGTGGATGCATTGAACTGCAAACTAATGAAACTAAATTGAACCTAACTAACCTGAATATTTCAGTCTTATAATAAGAGCCATGATGCCTCGGGAAAAGAGCGCTCGCCTCCAAATTAGAAGAAGTTGTTTCAAATCCCAGCGATGGCTGGTTGATACGGATTCCGCATCCGGTTTGCACCGACCACTGCCCAATATCCTCAGCGGAATAATGTATCATAAGCGGTAGACGGAATTAAAGTTTAGTGTGCCCTTGCCGTCATGCTTACCGAGAAAAGTTTTCATGGTTTTCCTGTCTATTTAACGCAAATACGGATTAGTTCCATCAAAAAGTCCTCCACGAAGTCACATTTCTCCCAGCACTTGTTTCAGGAGTTCCCTTGTCTTCCGGATTGGGTTCAAAATAACAAGGTTACGGAGGTGAAGTAGGACTGACTAAACATATGAAAAGTTTAAAACTGAAACACCTAAGAATGGTTTTTAAAGTTTTGGTATGAATTTTTTTTAAATGCAAGTGCCTCTTAAATGGATTGCATTATAAATTTTATTCTTATTTGGTTGAAATTATCCAAGCTATTTGCATTAAAAAATGTATACATGAAATACATTGATAAAAATAAAATAGTTGAAATTAATATTTAATTATTTTTACAAAGTTCATCTCGAAGTTGAGAGTTAACAGTTAGCAATTTCTCATAAATTTGAAAGAAATAATAAAAATGTTACTTCAATTTACTTTTTTTTCTCTCGTTGGAATATTTAAATAAAACTTTCACCTAATAATATGAAGCATAATTATGAAAATTGCTCCACTGAAAATGGAATTTATATTACAAGTTAAATACGTTAAAGATCTCATAGAAAAGGAAAATAAGAAAAAATTAAGACACTGAAATCTCAATTAATTAAAAATACTATTTTATTATTTTTGTGAAGGATATTTTACAGATACTTTGAAGTATGAAAATATTGAAGTTATTTCGGTTAAAAATTCAAGTTGAAAAGAGAATATCGAGCACTTTTATATCATATTCTAAATTTTTAATCTTATTTTCGAATCACTTAATCTTTTTTTTCTTAACTGTAAAGGAGTGGATTTTTAATCTATACATCTATACATAATAATAAACGCGGCTGTGTGTGTGTCTGTAATAACAATATATCGCCCCAGAAGCCTCGCCCAGGCACGAAACTCGGCACATAATTGTGTTTTGATATAATGAAGAAGTATTTTTCTTTCTTTTTCAAAAATTTGGATTAGTTTTTTAGTTATCAGTCATTTTGTAAGAAAATCTATGCTTTTTCGTCTTCAAAGAGCCATATTCAAAAAACTATTAAAAAATGCATATACTTTTCTCCACTCTTATAAATGTATGCTAATGCGAACCTTACAATTGAAATATTAATTTTCGACAACTTAAACCAATAATATACGAAGGAATTAATAATTTAATTGTAA